TTTCACGAAGTGCAGGTACATGATCAGGCCAATCAGCATGACGAAGATAGCAGCAGAAAGCACCATACTATTCTGTAACACAAGCCAAGCAAAGACAGAGCTCTGGTCTTACAATTGAACACGTCTTTAGAGAAAGCAATATTGCATAGTAAATCATAATATTAAAGCTACAGTTACAAGGCAATTTGACTTAGGTTGAGTCCTTTTATTCACCTGGCTGGCTGATATACGTGTAATGAGATCTAAATCAGTCTTCACAGTATGGTCTGAAAGAATTGGGAACTGAAACTGAAAACTGCAAGAAAATTCTATTCCCTTGTAAATTTAGTGCAGAAATCTCAACCCAAACCAGCTAGTTACATCAATGACTGCGTAGTGCACAAACATCTAGAGGTGATGTCACCGACAGAGAAGTGTTGTCAAAGGTTTGCTAGAACTGAGGGTGGAGTCTCGGAGGGGAAGAAAAATCAGGAAAAACCATTGGCCTAGTGGTTTTCTTCTTACGAACTGCAAGTCTAAACTTGTTCAAACCTCATCTCTCTTCCTGCCTTAAATGCTGATCTAAAGCACATTGGCTTTCTCCTGTGCTTTGTCTAAGGATGAATGTCTTTTGCACGCTGCAATCACAGGATTGTCATTACATAAAATAATACATAACTGATAAAACTATAGTCAACAGTAAGTCGTCTGAAGACCTGGTAATAAATCTTAAAGGTCCGCAACCTACAGTCTATTTCTGAGACATGTTTTAGAGAGCTCCAGGCCTCATACCCATGAATCAAAGTTATAACTGACACTTCCTAAAGGACCAGAACTGCATGGCCCTACCACTCCAACTGGGCATGTACCACCACGTCAGGCAAAGAAGCCATGGCCACATTCAAATCTTCTCCGAAAGTTTGTCATCATGGAAAAAACACAGTCATGAATTACAGACACTGAAATCCACACTGAGAGAGACTTTCAGATCTGGTTTCCTGGCAAAAAGGAAAGATTGCAGTCACTTGCGTACAAGCCGCATGAGCATGTGTAAAACCAAGCAGGAGGACAGTGGGTGGTAACCCCTGGCTGTGGTGTATGCTGTTGTAACAAACAAAAAGTTGAACACGGCTTCCATTCCAGCCAGAGGAACGTGAATCATCTTTTCGTACTGGAAATCTGCCAGCTGACTCACGTCACAATCTCTGTCTTCATTCCTTGGGAAGGATTATTGAAAAAATTAAAGTGCAATAGTCATAGCACTGGCCACAGAGACCAGCTTCTTCGGCCAAGTTGCTGACTTCAGTCTGGAGATAACGGGTCTACAAGCTGGTCCTTTCCCACAAGTATGGGTCGCAGGTCAGATACCTAAGCTAATGCTTTTGGATTTATCAGCAGCTTTTGAAATCGGTCCTGCCTCAGCGGTGAAACACGAGCAAGCAGATGACATTCACAGCGCAGTGCTCTCAGAGTCATTCAGGAAAACGCCTCTGGGGATTAACCATCGTTCACCTCCTTCAACGTACCCCTTGTTCCAGATTCCTGCAACCCCCCTCCCCGCGCCCGCACCTGTTCCTGGGACTCACAAGCAAGTCCGCCACGCTCGG